ATGGCGTACCCAGAGCTAGGGAAGTAACGTACCCCCCCCCCGTTTTTTTTCCGGTGAGAAAAAAAGTAGAATAATCCGCTACAGCAGAAGGCAGCTCTTGGTGGCACTTAAGGGATGGACAGTATCAGGGAAACCAAAACTCTGTCCTGCATTCAGCCAGGCAGCATCTCCAACCTGTGGCTCTCCAGATATATGCAACTGCTATTCCCCTAATTCCTAACCACTGTTCTTCTAGATCTGGCCTCTATTCTAATTTCTTACCTAGTAAACATATTAAATTATATCAAGCCTTGTTAATATAAAGTCTGCCTAGTTGCTGACACTTTTGTTTCCCATCTCTTATGGAAGGATGGAACAGGATGGAAATAGGTAAATGTTAACAGCTAGATTTTATTATACTAAACATGGGATTCAACAATTATTTTATTGTTCCCTCTTCTTTACAGCATGACTTTGGAAAGCCCTTGATGCAATTTAACATTACTTTTGCACTTGATAGGACCTTTTGCAGTTCTGCTGACTTCCTACAGTTTATCAAGAACTGTAATTTGGGGCAGCATGGCTTTAACACCGTTTTTTCTTTCCCTCTTTTTAGATGGTGTAAAATATTTTGACTGATGAACTGTTCATGTAAAACTGTAACTCTGCAAATCACTTCATAAGCATTTAATTAGTCTAATACAATCACTGTCTTTAAGAAAACTTTGTTTCCTTTTCTAAAATAGCTACTTTTGCATTTATCCTTGATAATTTTCAAAATCGGACCATTTATAATGTCGGGACTTAGGACTGCTTTCTGTCTTAATTTGAATTTTTACAATATACATGTGATTTTATATTCTGTTTTTTGCTAAACAGCTACATGATAAAATAGTTCTGTACTATCTTGACATTTCACAGTCTGTGGGCATTTCCATACCACCAGCAATTTTCATCTCGTGAACCCTCACAAAGCCCTTTGAAACCAAATTGCAATCATTGTCACTGTAAATCTCTGTCACCCTTGAAATGCATAACATGTCTATATATGAAGGATATATATATGAAGGATAAGGGAAGGTTGATTACAAAAAATGTAAATAAAAGTGCTGAAGTCTGAGAATGGCTTTGTGGTTGCTCTCTGCTATTAAAAAGCCTCTGTGACTTACAAAGGTGAAATAAGAGCATACAGATTATTTTTTCGATAGTTAAAATCATAATTGCACATTAGTATGGTGGCTGGAACTAGGGAGAAGACATATAATTTCCAAACAATCCATACAATTGGGCACTCCAGCAATAGGATACTGAACTTCTACTGGGGTGGAGGGATCATGAAGTGGAGGAGGCTCATTGGAATTCAGATGCTGGGAGATGAGATGAAACAAGACTTCAAATTAAAAGGAAAATGGACCACTTGCAAAGGCCACAGAACCAGAGCAATCCAATGCAAAAGATAACTAAATTTCAGTACTGGCTATGCCATAGCAGAGTCAGTGTGAAAGCAGGTCCAGAGCTGATAATAAAGAAGCCCAAAACTTTGTTATGGAAGTATACACTACCTCCAAAACTCACCCTGTAGCTTTGCCTGATAATTCTAAGAATTCCTATCATGCACAAAAATAATTGCTGCGTACATCATTAACCTCTGATATTGAAAAGAGTTAATTTAGAAACATACCCACAAGTTTATTAATGATAGCTATGGCAGCATAACTAGTATAATAGCAGATAGAGAAGGACTGAATTAGATCAGGAATGCAATAAGGGGATGAGTAAAGTTTATCTCCATTGCTAATAAAATTCCAATCTATATTGGAGGGCCAGAACTAACAATTTGGATACGTGTCTGCACGACAGGACAACCTAGGCAACAAACATGCAGTTAAGGTAACATATAGGTTAATTCTTACTATGCATATAAGTGATCTAGACAGGGAAATTGCAATGTAATGAAAGCAAATCCTTATGTATTGTTAAGAAACAGAATGGCCTGCAAGACGATGCACATTCCATGCACTGGATTGCTTCCATACAATAATTTCCCAACTTGGTGTCTTCCAGATGCATTGAATGCAATTTCTAACAAGCCCAGCCAATACAGACCACTGGACAAAAATTCCCCTGTTAAGGAAATATATTAGTATCTTGTTTCTCGTAGTAGGGGAAAATTGTTTCGGGGAGCAAATTATATTCAGGAAATGGGGTCTGTGGAAAAGGGCCTCAGTTTACCACTCTTCTGCTATACGGATTCAATTCAGGAATTCTTAAAACTGCATTTCAGGCTGGGCAATGAGACGTAAGAATATCTAGACAAATTTCCTATCAAGTAAGTTTTCAGATCCTCTTCATCGTCTGGAATCATCCACATCAGAAGGCTGCTGGGTTGTCAAGGAGTTTGTTTGCAGCCACATGCTGGGCTGGTATTTTTGTCCCTAATTATTGCAGCTCTCATGGCTGAAATTAGAGAATTAGTCAAAATTTGGGATGCGGACAAGGACACTCAAGGAGAGAAGCTTATGAAGGGGATATTGTAACTAATTTGGTGGAAAACTAGATTGTATTACTGTATTAGTTGGCTCAGTAAAGATATTCTACTTTTTCGCTCTTCCTAGTTTATTTAAATAAAGTAAGGTTATAAATGCTTTTTCCAAGTCCCTTTCTTTTTAAGATCCCAGCTTGCTCATTAGGTATCTACCCAAACTATGCTCCCAGGAAGTAAGTTGTGGAAGACACAAAACAATCATGAACATATGTGTTTTACCATAAATATAGAGCAGCATAGTCCATTCTCTTTTCATTCTTGAGTCACCAAACTACATGCCGCCCTTAAAATTTAAAACCCTTACCATGACCTCCAAATGTTTTTACTACTAAATCACGGTGCTATCTGGGGCTTATGACAGCATCATGGTACCTGCCCTATAGACTATTAAACCATTCAACACTTCGTCTGCTTGGCCAATACCCAAGCATAGACAACCTCCAGGCAATCAGTACTTGGCCACCAGTTGACAACTGTTTTGACCCAACCCCTTGTGCCTAAATATCCAACTTCTCCAAGTTAGAGAAAAAAAGATAAAAAAGAGAGTTTTTGTGCTGGCATGGTGGCAATTGTGTATTATTTTAAAACTGCTGGCAAGCAAGGATTGCAACATTTGGACTTCTTTATCAAACCAGCATGCCTACAATAGGATAACAGCTGGGAGGGAAGAGCAAGAAATACAGACTGTCTCTTCAAAGCAAAGCAGTGTTACATTCCTGATTGAGGAGTGGCAAATCTCCCTTGAAACAATTTCCTTTCATGTGTCAGAAAGGACAAAGAAATTTAGAATTTATTGCACTGGCCAGCCTCTGGCTACATCATCATCTGATCAATGAGAGAGGGGTTCATCTCACTCTAGTAACAGAACTGCACCTTCACACAGAAGAGACCTAAATACGAATAAAGGATTTCTGGAACATGAATCAGTGACACCAAGCTCTCATAAGTAATTGCACATTCTAGGAATGAGCAAAAGGTAACTTATTCTGGCAGATTTCTGGGTATTTCATAATATCTGGGAAAGCCCAATAAAGTAACAATAAAGAGCTTTCAACTTTTTAATTGAAATATAAATAAAACCCAATGTTGGCTATTTACTTAGCTTCAGAGTTCATCACTTATAAGACTAGGAGTATTAGATAGCTGACTCTGGTTGTTTTTTCAGGGTAGCTATGCTGGACTTTTCAGAGGTTTTACAGTAACGTGTGCAATAATATATATGAAGGTTTATATTTGTATATACATACACACACAAAAGGAATGGCAACCTGTGGCCTGCAGTCTCAATGCAAGCTCCAAACTTCTTTCTTGCAAACCCCAAAAACTATGCCACTGAAAACTGGCATGAAGTTATTGAGAAATGGCAGCATGATTTCTGGCCATTTCCAGTGGAAATTAAGCATTAAAAACAGTAAAAGTCATCTTTTAAGCCTAACATGTTAAAAAAAATAAAACAAAGCAGGATTATTCCTCAAAACAGAAATCCACTGTCTTGGATCCAGACTTTGCCCACAGATTCACTCCCTGCAATCCTCAACCTCCTCCTCATATTTAATAGAAGGCCAGCTCTCAACTAGAGAGCCAGTTTGGTGTAGCTGGGTGACCTTGGGCCAGTCACTCTCTCTTAGCCCTGGGAAGAAGGCAGTGGCCAAGCACTTCCAAGAAAACTGCAGGGGCTTGTCCAGGCAGTTGCCAGGAGTCAACACTGACTTAAAGGCACCAAAAAAACAAAACAGAAAAACCTCTCACTACCTCAAGGTTATCCATCCTTCATACATTGTATTGCAATCTATTGTATCCTCAGTGTGTACTGAGATACAATAGATTACTAACATTATTGCTTCCCTTCCTTTGTACTTAATTCTCAGCAGGTGGCTTAAGGAACACTGAGGTGCCAGTAAAACACACACACAGAGCAACATCCCAATCCAAAAGTGGGCCCACTTTTGGCATATATCATGCCTTATGCTTTAAAACATCATTAGAAAACTTTTTTTTTTTTTGCATTGATATAAGAAATGTTGAAATCTGCTAACACATATGCAGTAGACAATCCTTTTCTCATATAATGAAGGGAGATCTTGCAATTGACTGTGAAGCTGCTGACAAAAATATCCATGTTTATTTGGGTTTGAAATCACTCGTCTCCAAAGAAGACTCCAGGACCGTCATTTTTTACTCTGCTCTGAAGCTATTCAGCCACCACATGATAATTCCTACCTTGACTGATTCTTAATCCCAAACACTAGGTCATCTTGTGTAAAAGAGGGGGGAAATTTCTCACAATGCAAAATGCATCAACTTTTATGTTTTTCTTAAACTTCCACATACGTGAGAGCCATAGCAACAGGCTTCTTTATAAAATGCAACATATAGAATGTACAGTGGCGTTGTGAAATCCCTAGATGCAATGCTGCCTTTTATTTATTCTATTAAAAATAAGCAAAACTAATAACAGCACCACATCTTTTCGGAAAGAGACATCAGCATGAAAAGCAGAATCTAGCAGGAGTCAAAAGTGCAAAACGGGCCATCTACAGCAAGGAAGAGGAAAAAGGTAGTTCTACAGCCTTTGAAACAGCAGCTCCAAATTTTGCAAACCAGCACAGCAAGATTGAGCTAAATTAGATGAACCCTTCAGTCCCTCAGAAGAAAAACAGCATCTGATAACAAAAAGGAAAAAAACAAACAAGAATTCGAAAGAAAAGGCTTAAGGCTTGATCCAGCTAAACATGCAAGTACACCAGCCTCACAAATTCCAAAACCAGTTTCAGTAGCTATATGGGAAAAAATGCAGTTATCCCTTTTGGGAAATGGTTAAAAAATATAAAGAGATTCAGATTTGCGTATGCGACTGGCCTCTCGTTCTGTGTTATTACAGCACAGCAATTTCTTCATCACATAATGTCACCGCTTTGCACAGACTTACTTTAACTGCCGAGGTTCACAGTCAACTCCTGGAAGCAACAGCCGGGCTGCTTGTCGTACATCATCACTATCCACCGAGAAACTGCGACGGTGCCCTGCGTGAGCGAGAGCGACTCGTATCCATTCCATCAGAGGGGGCAGCACTATAAACGGCCTAGAAAGAAAAGCAAAGAAGCTGGGTTCTCTGTGTCCAGTCATGATGAAGATGAAGACTCCCAGTTACCCTGAACGGGTGGGTTAAGCCAAACCGTGGAATAACAACAACAACAACAACAACAACACCCAACACCCCAGACTTAACCATTGTTGATAAGAAAGACAAACAAGTCTGGATAGTGGACACTGCAATACCTGGAGACAGCAGAATAGAAGAGAAAGAACTGGCGAAAATCACAAAATATAAAGACCTGCCAACAGAAGTAGAATGACTATGGCAAAAGAAAGCAAAAATAGTACCAATAGTGATAGGCACCTTAGGTGCAATCCCAAAACATCTGGAGCACCACTCAAACACCATCAGCATTGACAAAATCGCCATCAGTCAACTGCAAAAGGGAGCTTTACTTGGAACAGCTGACATCCTGCCATGATAACCTTTAGCACCATCAAACAACAACATCTGCCTATCCTCGGTCCTTCGGAAGGACTCGATAGGTGGATTAAAATGCCAAAACATCTGGCTGACTGTGCAACCAACAATAATTTATTAAACTTGTATGCCGCCCAACTCTCAATGACACTGGTTATTATAAAATGATAATATATAATTAGAATTATAAAAAATATAAAAATTATAGTTTTTCTTGTATGGAAATTGGTTTCCTTTCCCTGTGGTAACATTTCCCAAATGTTTGCACATGAGTCTAAGCTTTTTTCCAATCCATCTGTATTTCCTTTGGGATTTGCCCACTTTACTCCATACTAAGAAAACCTTAAACCCCAATCACAGTCAAAACAGCTACTCGTTTTCTTTAAAGTCAGAAAGGTAGTTTTTATCAAAGTTTCTTTTTCAGACATAAACAAAGAACCAGAGTAATAGGATAGCCCATTCCTTCCTCTCAACCAACCTGATGGAAAGGATGTTAAAATCTATATGATGAAATGTTAACTCTGGAATGTGTGTAACATTAAATGTTGACCAGTGTACTGAACCACGTCTGCCTGATATTAAAAATGCAGTGACCTTGAGAGAGCAAGGCAGAGGATTCCATTATAGTTTTACATGAATAACTGATATCTTTCTTTTTAAAGTTGCAATCACAAGAAAGTACATTGGAATAAAATACATTTCAGAATGACAGCCACCAGTCTCCTTTGTCGGGTTTCAGCAGGCTCTTGTATTTTAATTCCAAAACTGCAACCTGTCCTGTTCTTGGCAGGAAGACAAGAGTTTCACTTCCTCATTAGAGATACAGGATTTGAGAGCAGAGCAGAAAATACAAACAGAATTCAAAAGAAAGGCTTAGGGCTTGATTCAGCTACTTAAAAGGAAGGCACATACATATCTTGCAGACGGCAAGGAGGCAGCTTATTAAACTCTGTCTATCCAGCCTGTGTAAAAACATCTGGGGATATGGCATGAGATTAATATATGATACACTCTGGGAATCACAATAAATACTTTACTATGTGATGACAAAACTATGCAAAGGGAAGCAGCATAATCTGCAGTTAGATATGTCCAGACTAATTATGAGCTGAGTCAATACCTCTTATGAGCTCAATCTCTAATTAATCATGCTGAAATTTCCTGCTGAAACTTAGCTAGTGAAGGCAAAGACAATGACAAAAGCAGCAGGATCACTGGTAGGAGCAGCACTGTGGTTAAGCATTGTGGATATTACAGTATGGGCTACTCAGAAAAGACTCCCTTTCCAGAAGTCTTGATGTTTCATTTGCATTCTCAGTAGCATTACAGCCTGCAGAACCCTTGGAAAATTTTGCTTTCCTGGTCTTCCAAAACTTGACCAAAGTGCCAGCACTTAGACTGAATTGCAGAATGTTTCTCATACTCAAAAGTAATTGATATACGGGTATTCCCCGGGTTAAGAACCCCCAGTTTGTAGATAGCCCATAGTTCAGAACGGAACCTACTGTGGCAAAATTTGAGTTAAATACACAATGATTTGTACACAATGGTTTGAGTTCATTACACAGTACCACTTACACAGTATTATACAATAATACTGTCCTTTTTACATGCAAATTGGACTTAAGGATAGACCTGGGGAATGGAACTCGTTCTTAAACTGGGGACTACCTGTAACAATCAGTATAGGTCTGCCTGGTTGGTTAGATTTAGCCTGTGTGTGTGTGTGTGTGCGTGTGTGTGTGCACACGCACGTGTGCGCGCATGCATGTGTCTATCTACATATTTTTCTTTGATCTTAGTAACAGTACATTTCTGGGACAAAGGCCTCTATGAGATAAATACTGAAGAATATTTTGTTATAGTTCTTTTATACGAAAACTGACTCTTTCCAAGATGTTGGGGAACCAAGAATGATAGATATGGCAAACTCCATATAGGACAGTGTTTCTCAACTTCAACAACTTTAAGATGTGTGGACTTTAACTCCCAGAATTCCCCAGTCAGCACTGATACAGGCAAATATGTATGTATACCACCTGGAGGTTTTGGACAAAAGGCAGGAAATAATCAAAGAAAGAAAAAAAGAAACACGATGGGGAGAAGTTAGCCAGTGCTACTTTGCCAGTTTAGTTAGTCATTATCTCCCAGTTTTTATTTACTTCCGAAGGTTATTGTGAAGATAAAATGGAAGTTGGTAAATAAATAGTGCATCTTATAAAAACAAAAAATTATTTAATTTACTTTATGGTAATTAAATACTTCTGTTTCCCAAGCTTTTTTTAATAACTTCCTTAAATCTTTTTAGCCGTTTAAAATAAAATTACAACAAGGAACTGGGAAACTAAAATAAACAAACATAATAGTGAAAAGATAAATAACAAGGTTATTGGATTCTGTTTTAAATTTTTTTAAAAGAACAATGTGTCCAATCTGTCGTTCTTAATTTGTGCTTGTTGCAATTAAATTGAGATTAAATATGCACTTTTACACAATGGAGATTTTAGAATGAGAGCTGCATCTGAAAGGCACTAGATTGGTGAAGAGTGCATTTACAAAAGGGCTGCCATGGAAGATTTGCTTATTCACAAAAAGACGGCTGTAGTGGAAATGGAGCCAAACTCTCCTTCACCAGAAGGAGCGCTGGCCCCATAGATGCTGTCTACGGTTCCAGAGAAGATGTAAGAGGCCCCAAGACATTCCTGCAAATCAATGAGATGCTAGAGGCTGATGTGGCATGCCAGCTCCCTATGTAATTTGATTAATTAAAATAATCTTAGCAAAAGCTAAGTGGGACAAGGAACCTAGTGGGCAGAAAGGAAGGCGTCTAGGCCACATGCTGCATGGGCTAGACCATATAATAAATGTTTGGGGGTCAGTGAACAATATGAAACTTCATGAAGGGATCAATGAGCTGAAGAGTTTGGAGATCCCTGGGCTAGACTCACTCTGCTCCTGGGCAATACCTGTCTGGTTCTCACCAATCCATGTGAATAGGTTCTCTTTTCTGTCATTATTCTAAATGACCATTATGCAACTTTTCTCCCTGTTATTAGCTGGTCTTGCCTAAAGCAAAATTTTTCAATCTATTCATACTGCACCTCTAAGACTTACAGCGGCATAGCTGCGTGCTATATGTGAGCCCAGCTACTGTGGGTCCACACACTTAAAATAAATCATGGTTTGCCTCAAGATATGACCCATATTTCCCCATTCCAATTCCTTTCACTGCTTCCTCTCCTCCTGGACACAATGCTTCACATATTGCATTACAAGATACTACGGTTTCTTTGGATTGGTTTTAGTGTACTATAAATCTTGCTTATACATCATGGTTTAGCATGCACCCTGACAAAAATCAGTAAAGTAAGAGCTGTTACTGATTGCTATGTTCTATCATAGTTAATATTAATTAATACTCTTCTAGACTTCTCCACTATGGACTGTCATATTCAACTTCCTATTGTTATTCCTGTCTTCCACCAGCTCCCACAGCCTTTCAATCAGCTAGACTGCATCTAGAGCACTGCAAATCATTTCCCATTCCAGAAGATTCCACTTCCAGACATAGGGAGTCATTCCCACACCATTCAGAGGTGCCTATTCAAAGAGGAAAAAGAAAAGATTCAGGCAGCACCAGCGTATGAGTCAAAAATCATACAATGAAACCCAAACTTTCAGCATCTTCTTCCAAGATTTAGAAATAGAAATTGTGTATTTGGGCATACATTGAATAGCAAGTCAGTGTGATACACAGTATATCCAGTCACTATTTCCTGCCATCATTAAGAGATTTGAGATATTTTTTTTTTATTTTAAAACTTCCTGGGCTAATAATGATCCTGTAAATTTACAGGGAAGAAAAGAAAAAAGAAAAGAAAGATGAGAATGCTGAAGAGTGAAAAATGTAACCCATATGTCTAATATGTTGGAGAGGTTAGTTGACCTTAGGGTTACATCTGTAATTTATTTAGCAAGACTGAAGCAACAAGATTAAATCAAGTTTTATTTTTATTTATAGTTTTAAACTGCAAGGTTTATAACATATGTGGTTATCTTTCTTCAAAAGGCTTGGCTCTCCACCATGTAATCTATTTGCAAATTTCAAGCTACCTTTAAAGCCAACATACATTTTCCCCATCTTGTTCTCACCATCTGGAGATCCTAGATGCATGTAGCATGAAGCTAAACTTGCAGAGTATCTTCAGTCCATCCTTCCTCTAAGAGGAGTGCTTGCAAAGTATGGTCAAAGAAGCCAAGATGGTGACCTCAACAACGTAACTGAAGCTTCATCCATTTTTTATGTGTGTTGCACCTGGCCACCATCTTAACTTTTTTTTACCATATCCTGTGGATACCACTGATTACTAAGCCTGTGCTTATGGAGCCATTCAATCAGTGCTGGTAGCTGCTGAGTTCATCCCTTCCCACCAACCAAACTCTAGCGTTCTGTGAACCAACAACTGACCCACTCCTCGTCTTTCACAAAGACAGAAGCAGCAAAGCAAAATAAGAAAAAAACCACTTTCATTTCAGGAAGGTTTGTAAAATGTATTAGCCCAACA